TGCAGCTTTGAACTTCCAAGTTCTGAAGCACGCAATAATCGATTATCAGCTTTGCAATAATCGATTATCAGCTTTTGCAGCCAAAACCCAGAATCTTCAGAGAGGACCAATAATCGATTATCACTTGTTGACAATCGATTATCTGGGTTACCGTTGTCCTCCAACGGATAGAATTTTAAATTTTTGGACAGGGAATCTTTGGATAATCGATTATCATGGTTTGACAATCGACTATCAGCCTGTGTCCTTGAAAAATTTGTCTTCATCCTGTTGGAAATTCTAGCAACGGGTTTATCCCTTTTGGGCTATAAAATGGGACCCAAATCCTCTCTTTCAACACAAAATTCTTCAAAATTTCAATATTCTTTCATTGCATAAGCATTTCTATTTTTCTTAGCTATTTGAGAGCCAATTCTTGAAGAAATTGTCGTGTTCTTGAGCGTTTACTAGTTCACTCATATCTACTCTTTGTGAGAGTTTTATTCCTGAGTGTTTAAGTGTTTTCATACACTTTAAGGGAGTTTGTTCCTTTGTTGTAAACTCGAAGGAAGTTCCTTGTTCCTTCGTGAGAAGTCTTGGAGTGCGGTATCTCCGAGCAAAGGTGTTGAGGCTCGTGTGACTCGGGTTCTCAAGTTGTATCGGTTTGTTAAGAACCCTTAAGCTTAACGAAGTTAGTGTAGCTCGAGAGAGTCTCTCGGGGGGCTGGATTAGCCACACGTTGTGGTGAACCAGGATAAAATCCGGTGTGTTCCTTCCTTACGCTCTTTACTTTAACGCTCTCGTTTTAATTTCCTGCGATTTTGTTTTAAACGCTATTCACCCCCCCTCTAGCGTTGGGCCTTCATTCTAACAAAATTCTCTCATGCTTTCTAAGTTGTCATCGCGAGACATGTGTTGTAGACGCATGTTAGTTGTCAAGCGTAAAACAGTGCAATAATTCCACAAATAAGAAGAGTTAATCGTAGCATTGACGATGTCTTGCCTTCTTCCCTTGGGTATGACGGGTAGAATTTGTCGAAAATCTCCCCCAAACACAATTGTCTTACCTCCAAACGGAAGATTGGAATTAGATTGGCAAACTCCACCCATTATGTCACGCAGAGTTCGGTCCACATCTTCGAAACAGTATTTGTGGGTCATTGGTGCTTCGTCCCAAATTATAAGCTTGCTCATAACCAATAAATCTGCAAGTGGTGTCTTCTGTTTAATGTTACATGTGGAATTTTCATGGGGATTGATGGGAATTCCAAACCGGGAGTGAGCAGTTCTTCCCCCAGGCAACAAAAGTGAGGCAATACCACTTGAAGCAACGTTTAACACAATATCCCCTCTTGAGCGTATAGAAGCCGACAAAGTTTTCCACACAAAAGTCTTTCCAGT